TAGCCACATTTTGAATATTGGAGAAGCTCAGTTATAGGTACATGGGAGTTCATTAAGAACCATCTGTGTACTTTTCATATTTAAAATTTTCATATTGAAAAGTATTAAAATGATCAGTTGGGAGGCCATTAGGCTGAGATGTCTCCAGTGCCCTGAGTTCTTTTGTAAGGAAACTGAAAAACGATTCAGAATGAATGGTCATAGCCTAAAAAAACAAAACTTAAGCTTACCCAATCAGAAACTGCCAACTAACCTCTAACAAGAGACTTTACCAATCAGAAACTGCCAACTAACCTGTAACGAGGAACTTTCCACTTTAACCAATCAAATATTTTCTTTGTCTTGTTTCTGCAAAAACGTCGTAAGTTTTCCCTTCGCACCCCCTCAGTGGAGCCCAAACCACTTGTGGCTGGACACTGCCCAATTCTTGAATGGCTGTCTACTCAAACTCTTTAAAATTTTAATGTGCTCCATTAAAAAAGAAAATTAATGTGCGTAAGTTTATCTTTTAACAGAGGGAAAAAAGCAATGGGGAAATGGGACGGAAATTTCTATTAAGTCTAAAAATCTACTTAAGAGTACTTCTCCAGAAAATCTTGATATTAAAAGAAACAGAGATTTTAAATAATTACCGAGATGCATAAGAGTTCAAGGATTTGATAATTTGATTATGTTTTCAAATAACCTTTTAATTTATTTTTAACTAAAGGGAACCCATTTAAATTAAATATTATAGCAAAAAATTATATTTACATAATTTAACTTCACTAATGAAATCCACATGTTAATCTGGAATCTTAAACACTTTTAAGATTTTTCCCAAAAGAAATTTCAGGATATGGGTGTTTTAAGAATCCAACATTCTATTTTCTCTAAGTAAATAACTACTTCTCANCAGGTTTTGTTGATCGATATTCACTCCTTAGAGAGATCTTCCACCATCTAAAGATCACCTGTAATTGAATAGAAGGTGACACAAATTAAAACTGATTTCAATATCAACAGCTATGTTTAGGTTTGGGGTTTTGAAAAATCACTAGGGTATGCACATAAGACTATGTATGGGTGGGAGGGACAAATGGGTTCAAAACCATGCTATCTACCCTAAGTGAATCATTGTGCAGTATGTATGTGCATGTATTGAAACAACACACTGTACCCCACAAACATGTACAATTAAAAATATTAAAATATTTTGGAAAAAAAGAAGACTATGTATCCAACATTAGCTATAACTTTGCAATCTGCCATCACAAGAAAGAAGTAAGGTCTGGTCATCAGTGAACATTTTCCTTAGAGATTAGGGTCACAAAATCATAGTTTTGGAAGGAACCTTAAAAATCTGTCAGATCACAGTTAGCTCAGGTGGTTAGAGCATGGTGTTGTTAACACTGAGGTCAAGGGTTCGGATCTATCAGGTCAACTGATGCTAAAATCCCCCAGAGCCAAATGGTTACCTGTCTATTGAAGACCTCAGAATAGAGATTCCCTAACTTGCGGAGCCAATTCCAAAGTAATTGCTCAGCTCTCCTCCTGCCTTCTCAAAAGATAAATAGACAATTTTCTCACAGAGAGTGACAGTTACATGGACAGGGCCAGGGAAAGTACCATTATGCTTTGTTTGATGCATGAAAAAGTGTCATCACACAGGAAACTTCTGATCATGAATCTGACAGTGCATTAGACTTCTCTGAGAATTTCGTTTTTTCTGAAGCAAACCTCGTTTCCATGGTTATAAACTGTACTTAAGTTCTGTGTTTTTTGTTTTTTTTTTTAAAGATGATCAGTAAGGGGATCTTAACCCTTGACTTGGTGTTGTCAGCACCAAGCTCACCCAGCGAGCTAACCGGCCATCCCTATATGGGATCCGAACCCGGGGCCTTGGGGCCGGCCCCTAAGCTCTGTGTTGATTTTATGGTGATGTCAACTGCTGGAACTGATGAGAAGCCCCCGGAAATGAATCTAGCTTATTTCACGTTTTTAAACCTGTAATGGAGCTGAGTCATTAATTGAGATGACAAAACTTCTACCAATTTGAGAAGCAGACCAAACTATTTCTGCACTTAGATGAGGGCTATAAGGGGGAAAATGGGAAAAGTAGTCACACTGGTTGTTAGGGATTCAACATAAGAATTTGAGGGGGACAAAATTCAGTCCATAACAAAGGGATATTAAGTATTACACTAGAAAGAGCATGCATTTTGGAGCAAGACAAACCTGGATGATTTACTTAATCTCTCTAAACTTCGATTTTCCTTTCTATCAAATATTACTTAATATTAATATTAAACATTATAAATAATATTTCCTTTCTGTTGAATGAAAATGCCAGGCAGTCTGAATCTAATGCCCATGTTCCTTATATCACATAATCTAAAAGGTTTAGGACTAAGTGGGAAGTCAGAAATAATTTAGTCCATCTCCCACAATGCATCCTGAAGATGAGCAAAAAGCTTCAAGGAGGTTATATGTTAGCAGTGATCTGTCCCGTTCCCCACCACCTTATTACTTACTAGGTGTTTTATAAGAATGACAGCAAGTCTCAGAATTCTGCCAAAAGAAGGAAACTTACTACCACAGAGCTGCCTCAGAGACCAAAACTCATTCCTGGAAGCTCAGGGGAAACCCCTACTTGCAGTCTACTTTGATTTCTGCAGCAATCTTCCCTGGAAAGTTTCTCTCTGAGGCACGTGCCCTTATGTTATAATGACATAATCAGCCACCCTTCTAGCCAGATCTAGCAGCAAAATCCTTGGCTGAGTGGGGGATTCTGGAACAAGTGGAGTTTTAGAGCATGGCGCTCCTGCAGAAATGTTGTTGCCGAGCTTAGTAAGATTCTTATCTTGCTCCAAAAAAGGCAGAGAGATGCTTGTATAATCTTACTTGTTAGCCTTGTATTTTGCACACCATTTTATTGCATCAATGAAAAATTATTTTCAACATTCCTTATACTAATTAATTAACCCTCTGGCACTGATTTAGAAGGCAGTACTTGCAGCAGTTGTCATAATGGCCTCTGGAGAGATGATCCCCAGGGCACAGATTCAAGTTAACTTAAACACAGGTAAGCTTCCTACTGGCTCCTCTGAGGTAACGTAAATTCCCGAGAATATAATGCCTGCCTTTGGGAAACATAGCTAAATAGTACCAGAACCCAAGCCTCCTCACCCCCAACTCATAAACACAGAGTTCCTGCCAAGGTGTGAAGCTTTCTTTATAAACAACCTTCATACCACAACCCATCAGACCACCCCTACAGAGCGGCACACAGAAAACTGATATTCAGAATCACAACTTAACCTTGTCAAGACTCAGTTGTGTTCCATATACTGTACTTGTTAAAACAGAAAAATAGAGTTTTTTTGTTTTTGTTTTTGTTTTTTGTGGCCGGCCAGTATGGGGATCCGAACACTAAATTTCTCCCTGTTTTTGAAATCATGTATAATTAAGGGATTTCACAGAGTAGGTCTGAGAT